AGAGGGAGACGGCCGGCCGATCCGGGCGAAACATCCCACAGCCCGAGTGGGGGAGCCACTGCACCCAATGATTAATACGTTCTTTATTGTCACGGCGCGTGTGCCGTGTGCGGCAGTGTGCCAGTGTGGGGGCAGAGGCAGGCCCTTGACCAGGCCGCGGAGGGACAGGACAGCCCTTCCGAAGGTGGGGCAGCACACTGATTCCGAGAGTCGTTTTCATCGCTCTGTCTCTTTCGCACTCATGGGGCGTTCCTTATAGGTGCGAGTGAGATAGAGCGACGAAAATGACTTTCGGAGTCTACAAGACCTCAAGGCCTCTCAATCTCGGTGGACTGACTCCGAGAGGCGTTTTCGTCACTCCCGTCTCTCTCGCACCTATATGGGACGCCCCATGAGTGCGAGAGAGACAGAGTGACGAAAACGACTCTCGGAATGAGTCTGCTGGCACCGCACCGACGAAGGTGACCACTGCTCCCGTGAACGTGCCTGAGTCTGTGCGCGAGTGCCCACCTGTAACATGCACGTCTACCTAGCCGCTGCCCCCCCCCCTTTCCCCTCCGGCCTATCAACTCGCTCATTATCGCCCAATCACAGCCGACACCCAGTCCGGTTCCCACCCCCGCCGCACTCCCTGCCGACTTTCCATGTCAAAGCGCCACTTTTTTTTCCTGACCCGCTTTTAGAAGTGATTTTTGACGAGGGTAGCGCGCTGCCAGCGGCTCACTCGTCATGGTCGCTGGTCAGGGAGGGGAATGAATGGGTGAATGAATGAATGAATTAATGAATGAATGAATGAATGAATTAATGAATGAATGAATGAATGAATGAATGAATGAATGAATGAATGAATGAATGAATGAATGAATGAATGAATGAATGAATGAATGAATGAATGCATTGATGGATGGATGGATGAATGGATGAATGGATGGATGAATGAATGGATGAATGAACCCTAGGTTATTAAAAACATAAAATCCTTATAATTAAATACCTATTGGGTTTTATGACTGACTAGGATTTTTTTAATAGGCCAAACTAGCGACACCCTCTTTTCCAAATCTCGTTTGACCGTCCAGCGACCTCGCGGTCCGTCCAAGTCCTTAAATCACCCCCTCCGCCACCCCTCCCCGCGCCCCGTGCCAAATGCGGGCCGATCCTGGAGGGGAGAGCCAATATTCTACACATATGAACGTATACGAATACACCCCGGCGTCCGGGCGGTCCGGCCCGGCCTGCCCGTCCTGCCCGGCCCCTCTACCAAGGCCAGGCAGGCCAGCCGGCCCGCACAGTGGGCCAGAAGACTGGTGGAGGCGGCCAAAACTCTAGACGCGGTTTGTGCTCCAGAGTCGCTAAACAGGACTCGAACCGAACGTGTGACCCCACCAATGGATTGCTCTCCGAACGAGGAATCCATTGGTGGGGTCACACGTCCGGTTCGAGTCCTGCCTAGCGACTCTGGAGCTCAAAACGCGTCTAGAGTTTTGGCCGCCTCCACCATTCTTCTGGCCCACTGTGGCCCGCCAGGCCGAGCCCCGCGAGTCGCGACGCGCTGGCCGCACCGAAATACCGAAATAGGGGCGCCGCCAACGAGACGATGATGATGGCCGGCAAAAACAAAAGAATGCGGGGGGAAAAATTGGAACTGCCGCGGCGGCGGGTGGGTGTTGCGGGGACTGCTCCGTGGCTTGTGGCCGAAACAAGGCAAAGACATCGCGTGGTGCCAAAGTGCGATTCAACATGTTGGGCTTCGCACCACGAGCAGCACACCACAGAGGTTGCCGCCCACACCGGAACGCGCACAGTGGGCCAGAAGACCGGTGGAGGCGGTCAAAATCTCGGACGAGTTTTGAGCTCCAGAGTCGCTAAATGGGACTCTAACCGAGCGTGTGACCCCACCAATGGCTTGCTCCCCGAACGAGGAATCCATTGCTGAGGTGATATGTCCGGTCTTCTAGCCCACTGTGGTACGTCTGCACGTTGAGGAGGGCAAAATGACGGGAGACTGGCGTTCCAGTCCTGCAGCCCGCCGCAGTGCACGGCTTTTCGTTGTCGGCCTGGCCTCGGACTGGCTTTCGAATGGTAAACAAATCGCTTGCCAGGTACGCCGCGAAGCAGTCTGATTGTGACAGACAGAATAGGGCCGGGGGAGCGCGGGACGGGCCCGGACGGGGAAGCCAACAACTCACATCGGTGTCGGACGAACTGATCAAAGAAAGCCAATCCCTCGCGAAATGCCGAGCTCTCCTTATTATGGGCGTGTATTCGTCGTGCGGCATTGCTACCGGACCCCGCGACCCACCCCGCCCCGCCCCGCGCCCCACCCGCCCCGCCCCGCCCCGCCCCGCGAGCGTCTTGTGGATCCGGATTAGATTAGGCTCGAGGCAGATTGGCCAAGGGGCTCGCATTGTCCGCGCACAGTGGGCCATTCGGAACTCGCACATGCCCCCGCCCCACCCCGCCCCACCCCGCCCCGCCTCGCCCCGCCCCGCCTCGCCCCGCCCCACCCCGCCCCCAGCCCGGGCACGCAGGAGACCAAAAGGCAGCGGCCCAAGCAGCAAGGTCCGCCCCGGTGGCTCTTCGACAACAACACAACTTGCAAATTGAATTAAGGGAGCCAGTGGCACAGTAGTCCGACAGTCGCCCCGTATGAGGCTATGCCTGGCTATGCCCGCGCTATCTCGGGCCCCGTCGGGCCCAGTCCTGTCTCATTTCGAATAAACTTCGGTTCACTTCCGAATTCCTTCGCTGCTCCTCTCCCATGCGGACACGAGCCAGGAAGCCGCCATCGGTTGCCTGCCTCCAGGCTGTCTCTCTCACTGACTTTCACACGAGAGAGGCAGTGTACCGCGGCCGGCGCACAGTGGGCCAGAAAGCCTGTGGGCGCCGCCAAGCCGCGCCGCTGGGACTTCCCCGCCTGAAAAAAGGGCGCCGAATCCGGAAGTGCACCGCCACCGCACAGTGGGCCAGATGACCGGTGGAGGCGGCCGAAGTTCTCGATGCGTTTTGAGCTCAAGAGTCGCTAAATGGGATTCGAACCGAACGTGCGAACCTCGAGGACCTCGGCGCCTGCGAACCAGAGGGTGGGCAACACGCCGCGCCGGCGCGTCGCGCTGGACGGCCGGCGGCCTACCTCCGAGGCTGAAGCCGAGGCTGCGCAGTGGGCCAGAAGACCGGTAGAGGCGGCCAAAACTCTCGACGCGTTTTGAGCTCCAGAGTCGCTAAACAGGACGCGAACCGGACGTCCACCAATGGATTGCTCTCCGAACAAGGAATCCATTGGTGGGGTCACACGTCCGGTTCGAGTCCCATTTAGCGACTCTGGAGCTCAAAACGCGTCGAGAACTTCGGCCGCCTCCACCGGTCATCTGACCCACTGTGCGGTGGCGGTGCACTTCCGGATTCGGCGCCCTTTTTTCAGGCGGGGAAGTCCCAGCGGCGCGGCTTGGCGGCGCTAGGCAGCGCGACTCATCCGTTCATTAATTCATTAATTCAGCCACTCACTCATTCATTCATTCATTCGGCGGCGCAGACCGCCCAGACCGTCCAGACCAGCCAAACGCAATCAGGCGCCGAATTTGCATCATCAATTGCAAAAGTAAACAATCCGGCCGAAGGGCCGAAGGCTCCGCCAAGGCCGCGGAAGCGCAGCGCGGCGCAGCGCGGCAATTACAGCCGCCAAACGAAAAAAAAATGAAAAATCATCGCGAGGCGGTTGTCGGTTATTGCGACAGGGCGGTGCGCAGGGAGGACTCACATTAGCGGGTATGAGAAATCGAGAGGGCGGAGCGAGCGAGTGGGGCACAGTGGGCCAGAAGACCGGTGAGGCGGCCAAAACTCCAGACGCGTTTTGAGCTCCAGAGTCGCTAAATGGGACTCGAAACGAACGTGTGACCCCACCAATAGATTGCTCTCCGGACAAGGAATCCACTGGTGGGGTCACACGTTCGGTTCGAGGCCTGTTTAGCGACTCTGGAGCTCAAAACGCGTCTAGAGTTTTGGCCGCCTCCACCGGTCTTCTGGCCCACTGTGTGGGGCGGGTACAGGGCGGGTAGTGACTGTGAAAAACTCGGCGCTCTGCTCCGCTCTGCTCTGCCTCGCTGCTGCCTCGGTGCGCCAGCTGCACTGCTCAAGAGTGCGGGCAGGAGTCGAGGGGCGCGGCGGGGATAGGTCAGGGCAGGGGAGGGGGAGGGAGGGAGAAGGGGTGAGAGGAAATGAAGTGGGGGAGAGAGAGAGAGCCTGCTGCAAGGCTTTCTCATCACTGCGCCGCAATTTTTCAAATATTAAAGAAAAGGGGGTAAGAGTGGGCAACAAGATCCAGGCAGCCGGTAGAGCAGGCAGCGGCCCCACTCCACGGAGCGGCCTCGGCCCCGCCGCCCCCGCCGCCCCCGCCGCCCCCCGGCCGCCGGGCTAAAGGGGTCGACCGGGGGCGGCGCGGGGGTAGCATCTGCCATCCAGTTTAACCCGACTAGCGAAATATTAAAACCGCGAGCAATACGCATAAAATGGTAATTCAAAAGAGCGGCCAGGCCGGGCCGCGCGGGTTGCAGCAGCCAGCCTGCGGGCGACACTATGCCAGGCCAGCCGGCGCCCCGGCCGTGACGCCATCGCCATCGCCGGGGCGTCTCGGCAGCCTCGCCAGCCTTGCCAGCGCCGGCGGTCGGGCCCTGATTTTTTGTGTACACAAGCTAGCGGGGGAACAGCGCGGCAGTCCACAAGTAATATGCCATGCAAAACATTAAAATTTCAAATAGCCTGATGAAGAGGACGGAAGCGCTGATGCCTAACCGGCATTTTGACTTGATTCAGATCGCGCGGGGGAGGGGGAGGGGAGGTCTTATTGGCAGCGTGACGCAGCGGATGCAGCCCTTGGCTGCCTTGGCCCTTGCCTCGGCTGCTCGGCCGCTTGCCTTCGGCACCCTTGAGGCCCTCAGACCGCGTGTCGCGCCCTCCTTGAACCCCCAACCCGCGTTGTCATACTCGGTACTTGTGTGTTGCAGGCGAGGACGAGAACGGCTGGGGCATCTCCCACAAGGGCGTGGTGTGGCACAAGGGCCTCTGGGCGCCCTACGCCGAGCCCTTCACGCAGAACGAGGACACCGTCATCGGGGTCTGTTTGACGGCATCGCCGGCACCCTGGGCTTCTTCAAGGACAACCGCTGGATGGGCGTGGCCTTCAAAGGGCTGGACAAGGTGAGGAGAGGGCCGCACAGTGGGCCAGAAGACCGGTGGAGGCGGCCGAAACTCTAGACGCGTTTTCAGCTTCAGAGTCGCTAATCAGGACTCGAACCGACAGAGTGACCCCATCTATCGAGGGGTTACCCACTCGGTACTTGGGCGTACACACGATTCCGGATTCCCGCGATTCCTGAACAAATCTTGCATAAAAGGAGAGGTTTTTGAAGATTTTTCTTAGCTTTTGAGTGTTTAGTGTCTATTACTTATCCCTCACCATTGAAACTTTTAAGATTTTCGATAAAATTTTGAGCAAATTACGAACGATTCCCGGACTGAGTGTACACACGATTCCCGGAGTGGGTGACCCCTCGCCATCTATGGATTCCTCGTTCGAAGAGCTATCCATTGGTGGGGTCGGTCACACGCTCGGTTCGAGTCCCATTTAGCGACTCCGGAGCTCAAAACGCGTCTAGAGTTTTGGCCGCCTCCACCGGTCTTCTGGCCCACTGTGGGCCGTCGGCGAGGACGAAGTACGAGGGGTTGCCTGCCCGCTCGGCGGTTGCTGTAGGGGTTGCCTACCCGCTGGGCGTCTTACCCGACGCGTTCTCCTGCTGGCTTTCGTGGCTCACAGTGGGCCAGAAGAGTCGCTAAATGTGACTCGAATCGAACGTGTGACCCCACCAATGGATTGCTCTCCGAACGAGGAATCCATTGGTGGGGTCACACGTTGGGATCGAGTCCTGTTAAGCGACTCTGGAGCTCAAAACGCGTTCAGGGTTTTGACCGCCTGCGCCTGCGCCGGTCTTGGCCCACTGTGCGGCCTTGGTGACGTCATGTTGGTGTTCCAGGTAAACGAGCCGCTGTACCCCATGGTGGCGGCCACGGCCAGGAACACCAAGTTCACGCTGCTGTCGGCGCGCGTCGACATTGGCACGCTGCTGGACCGCTGCAGGGCGGCCGTGCTGCGCGCGCTGCACAACCCCGAGGACGTGGAGACGCTGCCGCTGCCCGACCCGATCAGGGCCTACATCCTGGACGGCGTGGTGGTACCCACGGTGCTGCCCATCACCAACCCGGCGCAGCGCTTGTTGATATAAACCATGCAAACGTCCCAAGGAGAACAGGCAGTCAAACTCAGGTCAAAATGTCGTCAATAACTAATGTCATTTTGACATTAAAATGGACCAAAGTTTCATCATTGATCGGGACTTCCCTGTTCTTCCTGGGTCCGTGAAGGCTCCGAGCTCCCTGGCCGGTTCCCATCATCCCCGAGGGGGTAGTCGCAGCCTCTCTTTCTAATTTCTCGATTTTCGTGCCTTCCTGTTTCTTGTTTCCCCTCTAGAGATGCTACTTACTGTTTGTGGGCCCGCACTGGGCAACCACGATATCTCGTTTTCGCTTCTAGTGTGGCGTCAGCCAATGTTCTAGTCAAAGTGTGTTACCTTAACTATCCTTCTGTGTTCATCGCCTTCCATAGACGTGACTAAACTCTATTACTATTACCTTATCCTAATTACTGTTACTTATTTATATCAAGTTTTAGTAAAATTTGTTGTGTGTTCATTCCTTCTGCATTATAGTTGTTTGAACTGAGTTTTATCTATCTAAATCAATTAAAATTAAATCAATTATTAAAATATTTATCCTCTCTGTTTGTCTATCTTGGTGTTATTGTAAGAGTGTGTTTAGATGTGATTTCTTTATTCTTGTTTCTATTACTAGAAAATAATTTGTTTTGAAATGGCTGCAAGTCTTAGCATTTTTTGCCACTAGTAAATAATTTTGTTAAGAACAATTTTAGTACAAAATGGTTTCAATATGTGTTCAATATATTTATGTTACATTGTTTTCCTAGAAATTTTTAGTCACTATGATTTTAAGTGATAAGAGCGAGCTGCTCTGTGGTTACTCTATTGCAATTTAGTTTAATGATGTATTCGTGTTTCTGTTGTTAGTAGAAATCTTATTTATTCTGGTTAATATATTGCAAGTTACCAAACTAGAGAGCACATTGTTGCTCAATATGAGAGAAGCTGCTTGAGTCGCTGTTCATTCAGGATGTTGATGTGTTCAAGATGAAATTTGTCTCAGTCCTGAAGTGACAGATTGCACTCAGGCTTCAGTGTATTTAATCCTTGTCAATGTTAGTGCTCCTAGAGCAAGTACAGCTTATCATGTGTTATTGCAATTTAATCATATCATTCCTCAAAGGTTATTAACTATACATTCCATTGTATGCTTGGAATATGAGATGCGCTTTGAACGCACAATGCTGGTAATTGTTGGACATGTGATGAATATACCCATTTACCCAAGGCTCAGAAGTGATGGAAAGGCTAATATTCCTGGTACTATAGACAATGTTATGTTAAAAACCATAGCGGGAGGGGATCTCCCTCCACTGTGGTTTAAGCCAAATTATTATAAATTCTAGCTTCTTAATTGTGAAAGCAATTTCATTGCCTTCAAATGCACATTTTTTGCCCTATCAACAAATTCCTTCTTGATGTAATCCTTGTTGCCACTATGTTTCCCTTAGAGGGATAAGTGTTTTATTCAGTTGCGCACATATATGTGATAATGATTTTGTAGAAAAATATCAATGTCTGATCATAAGGTTAAATAAAGGCGACAGACAAAAGCAAGATGCTTGCTTTATATTACCTTTAATGCCAAACAAAACTGTAAAGAAATTTCAACAGTCACACAAGTTGCAATCTGATGTATAATGAATTCATATGAACATGATGGAGACCAGAGACATGAATACACCTGCAATTATCATCATTCAAAAAAAGCTTTGCTTCAAAATAGTGAACTCCCTCTTTCCAAAAAAATGCATTGGTACACTTTCAGAACTTTTAATAAAAGAGGAATTATCTGATGCATACCCAAAGGTTACGATCCAGTAAAAAAGGAAAAGAGCTTGCCTCCACAAGCTCAAAAATAGGGGCGTCATGGACGCAATGAATGTTACAATCAGCTAATTGTTTGATGCTTCTTTTGCTTGCTGAAGGGATTGAGTAATATATAACTTTGCAAGAGATTGCGAGCAGAACTGAGAAATGTGCTGGCTGTAGGTGTTGATCTGTCCAGCGATGATCATGGGGTTGAGACGGGGTGGCACAGGAATTGGTCTGAAAAGTTTGGTGAGGTCCTCTTCTGGCAAAGGAGGCTCTCCCTTGGCTGACCGGGCAGCATTTTCTTGAGCCTGAAATGCAGAGAGAAAAGTTCAGCACACAGTTTGAAGATATGAGCCACATGCATGAGTTTTATTTTAAGGGTGTTTGGATTCAAAATTAAAGCTGGTACTAACCCTCTTCAATGTAAAACGATGCTTCTCTTGCTGTTGACGAATAACCTGGACCTGGAATCTGTTGAATTTGATGGCTTCCTGGTTAAGCTCATCAACTCTGTCCATCATACTCCGGAGCTGTCCTTCAAGCACAGACCTGGCACAAATAAAACAAAATTGAAATATGCTACAGACGTAAAAATGAGAGGGGTTTGATGCAAGAGAGATTTTAAACAGAACTCACGCTGTCCCGAGATCCAAAAACTTAGTTCCTTCATCTTCAGGGACCATCTCGTCAATTTCAGTAAGCATGATGTTTGTGAGTAAAGAATTCTTTACTACAACAGGCACTTCAACAAATAATGACTCAAAGCCAACTTTCAGAGTACGAAGAGCCTCTGGAGTGAACTCTCCCTCTTTGTACATATTGATAGCCTGAGGAGTTAGACGATATGCCTTACATGTCAAAAATCCACGAGCAGTTTTGGCAGTATCTGTAAAGATAGGCCTTTAGTACACAAGCTGAATATTTGATGAGCTACGGTTAAGACGAAACAAGCCAATTGAAGCATACCATAGATGACAACGACAGATTCTTCAATTGAGGTCTGATAATGGAACTGGCTCTCGAGCAATGATAAGCTCAAAAAGTTCCCAACATCTGAGCTCTGGTACCATCCAACATGGAAATGATCTACATTCACTCTCCGTAACCTCCTCATCATGGTCAGCTGATATTCCTCTGCAATAAATAATCAATCATATATATCCTAGGTAAAGAAATCTGTTACATGACATGGACCTGCAAGACCTAACCTAACTCAACGTACCTTCATCCATGGAATCATCACTGTTCTTAGGGAAGGCAAAGCAGTTTGTGATTTCCAGGCGGTTCTTGACAACTAGCCCAAGAAGCGCACCTTGGGCCATTTTCATGTTACCTGCACTCTCTTCATGACAATGTTTAATAATTTTCATCATCGCCTGTAACAAGGAGGTTAATCAGTTGACAGAATTCCCTCTTCAAGCCAGATCCTCATGTATGAATCTTACCAAACCATCCATTTGCACGTAGGCAATGGCTGTCTCATTCTCAACTAAACGACTCGCAGATCCTCGACCAGCCATTTTCACAGAAATATAAAAACTTTCTAGCTAAATACAAAACACAGGGGCACGTCGCCGTGCCGCAGCCGCAATGAACATCGACAGTGTTTTGTTGTCCTGAGCAGTCTGCTTTTGTTACTATTTTTGTTCTTGAATGATCATTGGCCTTCAGACAAGACTCACTTTATTTTCAGCATTTATTTCCTCATGTGATAAATACACGTTTCTACTCGAATAAGGACCTAATTTCTTATATTTTATTACTTGAGAAATCTCGTTAAAAAGCCACAAGACGATAAAATTCAATTTTGTGTTTTGACATGACTTGAAACTTTCTCATACACATGAACACAGAAATGAAAAATTTCTCCCAAATGCTTTCTGCTTGCGGCCGACTGGACAGACAGTGCAGTAAAAATGGCTGACTTGACGAGATTGACTTATGTATTTCTGTTTATGATTTGCCTAGGATTATCTATCAGAGATATTGGATTGTTTGCTGATTCTTCCAGTGAAAAAGAGATACCAACTATATCAAAAGTTGGCTTTAAAAATGTTGGTCCGACGCTGAAATTCCTTTATTGGTGAGTGCGTTCATCAGGTCCCGTGTTGACATTACTTGCGAAATTTCATTCACCTATTCCTATGAATCATTGTCTGTTTTGGCGACTTCGTGTTCGTGTTTTTGGGATTGTCACTGCTCAGCGATTCCCTTGCATTGCGAATGCTGATCATTTTCGGAACTAATTTAATGACTTTATTTTTCTTGAAATCGTTGTAAAGGTTAAGCAATAATCCCCCTTATCCTGTGCATATTTGCATATAATTTAGGATCACTCATAGCAAATTTTGAACTCACAATCCGAAGTCAAGCTCCTATTATCTTCTTTTTCCCTTTCTTTTTTGCAGCTATTCGTGTGGCTACCGGAAAGTATTTGATGACTACGTTACCATCATTCAACAAAAATACCCACAAATTTCTGTCCATGGTTCCAACTATGACCCACCTGGAGTGTCCTTGCAGTTTGCAAGGTTTTTGGTAAGGTTATCAGATTCTCCTTCAAACCACTAACACTTCACAGTTTATTTGTATTTTAATATTTTGACTTTTCTCAACAGAGTATTGCCAAAATGGTTATAATCTTCGCAATTATGACTGGTTCCAATCCATTCCAATTTCTTGGACATGGCAATGCGGCGCCACCAAACTGGTGGGTCTGGTGTGTGGAAAATAAGTTGTACTCGTGCCTTATGTGCTTCTTCCTCACCAACGCTATTGAGGGACAAATGATGTCTACAGGTGCTTTTGAAATAACCCTTGATGGTAAGTTAGCATTAAATGTCTTTAAAATGTTGCCTAGAAAAAAATATTTATAAAGTTTTAATCCTTTCTGTTTATTGCAACTTGCAGATATGCCAGTTTGGTCCAAAATAGAGACAGGTCGTATTCCTCAACCACCAGAACTTTTCCAGATCATTGATAACCATCTAGGACTTCAGTTCGAAAGTAAATTGGATCTTAATACAGGATTTACAAAATGAGGTCACTATAAAGTGATGGGGATAATGTGGAGAGCTTACAAAAATTACAAATTTCATTTCAGTATGTTTTTTATTTTCTATTTCATCTTATTTCTATGAGATATTTGTGGGGGTTCAAGAGCTGATTTGCATTCCATACCGATTTCAACCCATTCTTTCATCTTACATTTGTTTTGTGTGTACAAGACCCCCATTCAGGAGATGGACTGCATTACATTAGTTGCTGATTTGTTCATGGCTCAGAAAATTGCCATAACCACCTATGTTTGATATCCTATAACCCATATTGGGACAGTTAGAGTTGAATGCTCTTTAATTGTCGTAGTTTTCTACCTGTTAGATGATTTCTCTGAATGTGCCTCCTGTTTTGCTCCCTGCTGGTTTTATGACACTGTTCCATTTGCATTTCATCAGAAAGAGTTTTGTAATTGAATCACACTTGAAGTGACTCCTTTTTGGTATGCACCAATTTCAAATTTTGCCTGACACAGCCATGCCATGAGAACTTCAAGATTCCCATCATAGTAATAATAAAAAGGTTTTGAGACTTATATTCTCACTGTTATGTGCAAGCACTACACCTTTGTTTTGTGTGTGTGTGTGTGCTTTGGTCCATTTGAAAATGCATCACATTCCATCTAGCTGATAAGTATCTTTCTAATGTGGTTTAAATGTTGCATAGCTGGTTGGAATCTGCATTCTCCTTTATTTATGCCTGCTTGTGGATATATTCAATTTTTTAGGAATGTTATGAACTTTTTAAATGAACGGTTCTTTTCCTTGGTAATTGATGCTAGAGCCACCACAAATCTTGTATTTTTTTCTTCCTGTTTTCCTGTGAGATTTGTGAATGTGAAACTAGTCAGTTTCTGTTTATTTTCTGTTTTTGTAGTGGAGGTGCTGTGATATATTTTGTCACACCGTATGAAGGTGGACTTCATTTTTCAAAATTATTTGGAACCAATAAAAATTGCTGTGCTTGCAATTTTGAAGAACTTCCATTCAGAATTGATGAAGTACTGTTTAACAAAGATAATAAAGGTTCCTTTTTCTTACTACTTCAAATTTAATGGAAACTTGAAGTTTTCTACTATTTCAGCTGTGTTTTCATATCATATTCATGTCATTTGAAGGGAATGTAAATGTTTTGTTCACATAATTCGTTTTTAAAAATCATTGCTGAACACTTTTTTTCCTTGTCTATGTGTGCCTATGTGTTGGCTTCTGTGTGTGGCAGAATATGTTGAAGCAGGTGCTACTTACTCTGTGTATTCATCTCAATGATGCCCTCCCAATTGTTTTAACCAGGTTGGAAGATCATTGTCTCAGACATCGAGTTATTTAGAAAACAGTAATTTCAGCAATTTTTATCAGTTCAGCACCGTATTAATAATTTGTTACTTGATAGAATTTCTCTTAGTAAAGTGTCTCAATGATTGGGGTTTCACTTGAAACTGAATGGAGTTAGCCTCAAAATATTAGAGATCTGAAGACTGAAACATGCTGCTTCTATGTATTTATGTTACTGCTCATTAAGAGAAATTTCTCATTGGTATCTCTACAAATGTTGTGCAGAAACCTGTGTATTTTGATTTTGTATCCGTTATTATAAATTGTTAGCTCGTATCCGTATGTTTTAGGTGCTCTGAGTATACCTGACTTGTAACTATTGTGAAGTGTCCCAAATTACATATATTAGCTTCATAATAATTAAAATAAATCTTTAAAATGCATTCTTTTTATTGCATTCCTTTCTTGCAACATGTATTGATAAACATTCAGTTTTCTAAACTAGCGGTTTTAGGATAAAAAAATGAATCAAAGACCTGGTACACTGGGCCAATGCGTTACATGAGAAATAACAAACTCTATTACACCCATCTGACTTTTTTTCTTTTTGTAAATTTCTATGCAATCCAGAGAGAGAGAGAGAGAGAGAGAGAGAGAATATGTAAACCAGGAAATATGTAAATTATTTTAGCTATGAGGTTTACTAAGACAGAATAGGAAAAACAAAAGTGCAAGAATATATTAGTTTTACTTGCATAAACACGCAAATTTCTCTCACACATCATACAGCACAGACAATATTGGTAAGAGTCACAAAGAGATTATGTAAGTAGTACCTTTTGAAACATTACATTACGCTACATTACCTTCACACACTACATATCTTCATCATTATCAGGGTTGTTAGATCTCAACATACACCAATTAAAGTTATTTTATATGCTAATTATAATTTTTTTTATTAAGCATAGCTGAAGAAAACTTATTGAACACATCTCCAAAAAATTGAAAGATCTATGAGAAGAAAGTCCACTCTAGTCATGGCCTTCACGCCCAGCTTTGCAATTACAAGCACCTCTTTTAAAAAATATTGCATAAAGCCGTAAATAACGAGATTCTTATCTATGGCACATTAAAAACTAGTATAAACCGATTACCGGCTCCTTAGCCTACTCAGGCACAATTAGCGCGACAAATGGTTCCAGAGGGAACCAGGAGAAATGTCAACAAATAAAATTCGAGAAGGTGGTTAGTAACGAAAAGACTACTGCATGTCCGGCAGGTTCCACGGCGCGGCCAGCTCGGGGAGGTGTGTGACGGTGAGCTGCGACCCCGCCGAGCTCATGTGCGTCACGAAGGGCTGCGGGGTGGGGGCGGGCGTGGACGCGCCGTCCTCCATGCCGACGGGGAGCAGGGCCTGGGGCCCGGCCAGCGGCCCGGCCTGCATCGTCTCCTCGAGGCTGGAGTGCCTGTACGAGCCCAGCACCACGCCCTCGCGGCCGTTGGTGGGCAGCAGCATGGCGCGCCCGGCACCCGGGGGTCCGACCTGGCCGTCGTGCTCCAGCGTCAGGGACACGGTCATAGCGTTGCCGGGGATCACGCCTTGCGCCAGCGTGGACAGGTGGCCCAGCACTTCGCCCACGCCGGGGCTCCCCTGGTTCACCTCGTGCGAGACCTGCAGCGAGGACACGAGCGTCGTCAGGAGGTTCCTGATGGAGGGCATGGCGACCATGGGTACGCCGCCCGGCACGCCGCCGAGGTCATGGCGCCGCCCGCGCGCTGCCGCCTGCGGGCGGGCCTGGCCGAGTACCTGTCCGTGGCCCTGTCCGAGGCCCTGACCGAGGCCCTGACCGAGGCCCTGTCCGAGGCCCTGTCCGAGGCCCTGTCCGAGGCCCTGACCGAGGCCCGGACCTAGTCCCTGTCCGAGACTTTGACCGAGGCCCTGGCCGAGGTCGGGGCCGAGGCCCTGGCGCAGCAACGGAGGCATGGGGTGCAGTGGGCCCATCTGGGGCTGCGGGGCCGCGGCAGCCCACTGGGCACGGTACGCCTGCTCCGTCGCGGCTGGGAAGTTCGGGGGCTTCGGCATGATGTGCTGGTGGGGGCGGGGCGGCGCGGCCGCGTACGGCGCGAGGTCCACGTCGGCGAGGGCGGCGCCCTGCTCCGGGGGGATCTGGGCGATGGCCGAAGCCCTCTGCGACGGCCTGCCTAACGACCGCGGTGCCGACCAGGCTGCCGCCGGGCCTCCACTGCTTCCAGCTTGCTGCTCTCGCTGCGGACCGCGCTCGAGACCGCGATGCATGGTGCGATGCTGGCCGCGGTGCTGCCCTCGCTGCCCGCGGTGTTGCCCGCGCTGCATGGGCATCGTCGGATGCTCTGTCCAATTCGACGTCCTCCAGTGCACCGTGGACGTCGGCCGCTGATTCTGGAACAGTGGAACAGTTCCAGCAACCACGAGCAAACATGGGACTGTACAGCGAAGCTCGTTTGGAAAAGAAAGTCTCTACATTTCAATCTCTAAATTAGAATTATCGGATAGTACGAAACCATGAGCAAACGAGGCTGGAGTACGAAGATGAGAGGTCTGAATGTCCAGGGGACGGGGCGTACCGGTGCCGTGTCCACCGGGCCGATGAAATCGCCGCTTTCAAGGCTCGGCCGGTGCCAGCTTATGGGAGGATGCACTGTGGGCAGCTGTTGCTGTTGCTGTTGTTGTTGTTGTTGATAAAACATGGCCTGCTGGTGCTGGTTCACGCGCTGCTGAAAAATCTGGAGTTGTTGCTGCTGCAAGAAGTGCAGTTGTTGTTGCTGCTGTTGTTGCTGGATCAACTGAGGCTGCGTGAGGAACTGCTGCTGCAGCGGTAGTTGCTCTTGGTACTGTTGCTGTTGTTGTTGTAGTTGTTGTACTTGTTGATGTTGTAGTTGTTGTACTTGTTGTTGCTGTTGTAGTTGTACTTGTTGTTGTTGAAGTTGTACTTGTTGTTGTTGTTGTAGTTGTTGTACTTGTTGTTGGTGGTGGTGTTGTTGCTGCGGCTGATGTTGCTGCTGCTGCTGTTGCTGCTGCAAGGGCCTCTGCGACGGCCGGCCCGCGCGCGAAACATGCAGCTGGTCGGCGAGGTCCTGCAGGTGCTGCAGGTGCGGAGGGTTCGCCCTCTGCGGCGGCGAGCGCTGCAGTTGCCTGGCCTGCCGCCTCGGATCCTGGCAGAGAGCAGAAAACACGATGAGAAATCCGACAGGCATTTCCCCACGAAAGGCCAGGCAGTTTCCAAAGGCAGTACATTGTTCTCGTCGTTGACGTCGGGGTCGGTGCTCGGCGCCTGAAGGTGCCCCTGTTGCTGGCGGCTGCCCCGGCGGGACTGCCCTCGGGCAACGGCCCTGCCTGAGGACGCGCGGCCCCGACCGCGGCCGCGGCCCCGCGGAGGCACATCGTCGGGGGCGGGGGTGGGGGCGAGCTCTGGCGGGTTGGGGCCGAACAGGTGGGGGGTGGGTAAGTGCCAGAGAGGGGCGGCGGTCGGCGGCTCGTGCGGCTCCAGCACCACCTCCGGGCTGCTGACGGGCTCCCCAAGCGCCCCGAGCGCCTCGTCGGGGAGGGTCATCGGCGAGAAGCGACGCCGCTGCCACGGCGGCACCGACGACAGCGGCGGGACCGGCGGGGTGGCCTCGGGTGGCGGCGGCGGCGACGGCGGGGGTGGGGGTGGCGACGGCGACGGTGTCGGTGGCTTCGGCGAGGCTGGCTGCGGCGGCGATGACGGCGCCGCGGTCGGCGGCGGCGGCGGTCGGTCTAGATACTGTGGCGCCGTGGGCATCCCCGTCAAGGCTGTCCTCAGGAACTCTGGCGCCTTTGCGAATCGCACACGCCGCAACTCGAAGAGAACAGAAAACACAGTGGAAGGTTAGTCCGTGCAATTCCAAACGACAGATCCAGTGCATCACTGCAAGTCATGCAGCCTGCACTGCACTACAGTGCTATACTATACCTGCTTGGTTTGGGCCTGGACTTGCCGGGCCTGAACGTGCTGGGCCTGCGCGGCCTGCGCGGCCGGCGTGGTGGAGTCGGGCGAAACGAGTACGGCCGCGGCGGTGGTCGCGGTCGTGGTCGTGACCGTGGCCGTGGTCGTGGCCGTGGTCGTGGCCGTGGTCGTGGCCGTGGCCTGGGGTTGGCGTCGCAAGACGATCCGCGACGGGTCACAGAAGATGGCTTGGTACTCTAATTCGGGCCTTGTGACAGGGGTCAGGAACTGAGGGTTCTGAAAAGCCAAAGCAGTCGTGCACAGATTGACCCAAAAACGTGGGAAAGTACAGAATCGCGGTCTCCTGGATCACCTGCTCTTTTGGCGACGGCTGTGGCGGCTGCGGCGGCTGCGGCGGCTGCGACGGCTGCGACGGCTGCGACGGCTGCGGTGGAAGCGATGTCTGCGGTGGAAGCGACGGCTGCGACGGCTGCGGTGGAAGCGATGTCTGCGGTGGAAGCGACGGCTGCGACGGCTGCGGTGGAAGCGGTGTCTGCGGTGGAAGCGACGGCTGCGACGGCTGCGGTGGAAGCGATGTCTGCGGTGGAAGCGACGGCTGCGGTGGCAGCGACGGCTGCGACCGCTGCGGCGGCTGCGGCGCTTGCGACGGCTGTGGCGGCTGCGGTGGCTGCGATGCATGCGTGGAGGCAGGAGGCAGGAGGCCGAGGCTCGAGTCGTGTCCCAGAGGCTCGTTCAGGAGGACGCGCAGGTTGTCGATGGCCGACATGTAGGGGCCCCGCGAGGCCTGTGGGGTCTGGGCGGGCAGCGCAGGGCGCGGCGCCGCGTTGGCTTGCTCTGACGAGGCCCGCCGTGCGGGCGACGCCCCCCGTTCGCCGTCGTCATGGTCGTCATCGTAGAGCGCATCGCGGCGGTGCGCGGTGCGGTCCCCGGACTGGTCCCCGGGGCGTTCCACGGGCCGGTTGCCGACCAAGGCGCGCAGGAACTGCACGCTGGAGTCAGAGTCGTACTCTGACGGCGAGCCCTCCGTGGCCATGCAGGGGCCGCGCGGTGGCAGGGGCCGCGCCACTCACACCGAGGCGGGCGCGGAGGCGGGCGAGTCGGCCGACCCGGCGACCTCGGCGTCGTCGGTCTCGACGTCCGGTGTCTCGACGTCCGGTGTCTCGACGTCCGCCACGGAGCTGAGGCGGCGCCTTGGCGCTACAGCTGATTGGCCGTCGCGGGCGGCGCGGCTCGCCAACGCGCGCAGTGGCACACGCACGGGCAGGGCTTCGAAACGGGGCACAAGCCAGGGAGGGGGCACGACATGGGGCACAGCGTCGCGTCGCGCGAGATATGGGGGCAGATGGCGACGACGGAGAGGGGGTGAATGAGGCCTCGACGCCCCATCGGCAGCGGCAGACACGGGCACGGCGTGGCGGCTTCGAAGAGAATCGTGACGGCCCGAGGGTCCAGGTAGAACCTGCACGCCGGCGGCTCGCGAGCCTTGCGCGACGACGACGACATCCCTGGTCGGGGACGTGGTCGCGGACGTGGTCGCGGACGTGGTCCCGGACGTGGTCGCGGACGTGGTCCCGGACGTGGTCCCGGACGTGGTCCCGGACGTGGTCGCGGGCGTGGTCGCGGGCGTGGTCGCGGGCGTGGTCGCGGACGTGGTCTCAGGTGTTCGGCGCATGCGGGGCGGCGACGGTGACTTCGACGGCGAGGTCACCCTGACCGACCGCGGCCGGCGAGTCACCTGCGGGGCAGAGGATGGCGTTGACGTCTTAGCGGTGACGCTGCAAGACGCCGACCTACTCTGCGGGCGCTCTGGGAAAGGAGGCGCAGGGATGCACTCAAGGTAAAGGGTTCACTCCGGTCGACATGGAATCTGTTTGTGAAGACAACGATTTTCAGAAGTAGGAAAAATGGGGCCTGTTGCTCGTACTGAGGAAGCACGTTGGGAAACGTAAAGAAAAATAAGAGTCGAACCACGGACCCAAGGGTTCGGAGTGCCAGGCTTCCAGAGCTTCCATTCCAGTGCGCGCGCTGAGATAGGTCAATGGCAAACGCAACCTAATCGCATCAGCCCCGATGAGCTTTCGCCTTCCAATGCAACGAGCTGAAATTTAAAACAAAGTGAAAGAAATAAACAAGTGGGTTTTAGGCTTGGAAAATAGCCATGCAGTAGTTTGCAGCAGGGTGGCAGCAGTACTCGGGGCGGAGCGTGGTGGGGGCGTGGCGGGGGCGTGGTCCCGAGGTCGATGAAGGCCGCGCCCCCTGCAGCCCCCCGCCTGCCGGGCAGCGGCGCAGCGGCGGGGGCACGGGTGGGGGTAGTGCGCTGCAGAGAACGCCCACCAAGTACAGACGAGAATCAGAGCGGGCCAAGTCGGCCCACAGTGGGCCAGAAGACCGGTGGAGGCGGACAAAACTCTAGACGCGTTTTGAGCTCCAGAGTCGCTAAACGGGACAAACCGAGCGTGTGACCCCACCAATGGATTCCTCGTTCGGAGAGCAATCCATAGGTGGGGTCACACGTTCGGATCGAGTCCCATTTAGAGACTCTGGAGCTCAAAACGCGTCTAGAGTTTTGTCCGCCTCTACCGGTCTTCTGGCCCACTGTGCGGCCGTTTTGGCTGAGCTGAGCAGACATCCTTGAGTAGACACGCATTCCGTTCCGTTCCCCCGAGCACACTTCGTCTTTGCTTTACCCTTCATGCTTCCTTTCAATTAACTTAAAAATCCGCAACAGTGTACAATACTACAAAGCAGTCTTTCATCGAGGAGGACGGCGTGGCAGTTCGATGGGTGTCACTTGGATCCTTTGAACTTATCACCGACCCTGATTCCAGTTCAAATCACGGAGTGAGGGACGGGATCAGGCCAGAAGATCCGAGCTTTCGTTTTTCGGTGACGGCGGCGTGACTGTTGGCGGCGGTAACGGTTGAAGGTGGTGACGGTTGACGGTGGTGACGGTTGACTGTTGGCCCAGCTAGTTAAGCATCGCTTAGGCGAGAGCGGGAAAGCGAGGAGGGCGGTAGCGCCGAGAACGTTGAGTCCGGGGGTCATTGGGTCAACCCACGCCAAAACGTTAAGTTCTCTGCCACCGTAGTCACCGAATTGTTTCTTCTTCCGAGAATTTGTTACCCCCAGGCACTGGTGCGTGATTCCGTTGTGTGACACGAGCACAACTCCCGAATTACTATTTTCGTTTGGGCCCCAATTTTGTGCAGTATGACAGGCACTGACTCACTTCGCCTACCCTGACAGGGACTGGCAGAGCCAGCCAGAACCAGTTCGACTTCGCCAACACGCGCTTCGCTGGGGCATCCGGACATGCGTGCCGTTCTCAAGTTCAAGAGGTTGCGGGCTGCCTACCCATCGGGCGCTTGCCCAAACCCTTGCGCCCGGCTGCCTACCCATCAGGCCCCACGCGCGTCGTCTTGGGTGGGTGAGTGCGTCATCGGGGACCTCTTGAGGTGGTCGATGACGTCCTAACCGTGCATCGAATAGCCTCAGGTGTCCACTCGGCAGAGTTCCGGGGCAGACTGCGGCCAGGTAGCGACCAACCGGGCACCTACGCGACCCCGCCGCGCCGTCTCGTGTTGGCTGTGTCTTCCGGCCATGCGTGCCGTTCTCAATGCCGAGGTTTTGGATTATCAGTGTGGAGTCAAGTGGCTACCTACCCACCAGACGCTTGGTGCGTATCTTTACGATGGGGTTGCCTACCCGCCAGGACCACCGGGCCCTCCGCGTTTCGGAAGGTTTTTGGAAAAGAATCGCAAAGTTTTGTCCAAGACGGCCTTTTGTTTTAGAAGAAGGTCGTGACGACGAGTACTCTTTCATTTACAGGGTCGGTGTGGTTCGTGTGCATAGCGGGCGAGTGCTCGCGTCCAACCGACCTGCGAAGGCTTTTGCTCGAGTCGCACTCACTTGGCCTCTGCCTGCGCACCGTGCCGCGCCGAGAAGTCCGCTAGCTGTTACCTTTATGTATCTTGTAGTTGTAGTTTTAGGTATCTTTTGAGTGAAGGTATGATCTGCTCAAAACTACGAAGGGGGTGCGGGGGTTATTTTTGGCGCACTCCAGGCCGCTACCTCACCGAAAACCCTCCGTCGAGGCCGCCGTCGAGGCCGTTGTTGAGGCCGTTCTTGAGCCCGCCGTCGAGGCCGCCGCCGGCCTCGACGGCGGCCTCGACGGCGGCCTCGACGGCGGCCTCGACGGCGGCCTCGACGGCGGCCTCGACGGCGGCCTCGACGGCGGCCTCGACGGCGGCCTCAAGAACGGCCTCAAGAACGGCCTCAACAACGGCCTTGACGGCGTCCTCGACGGAGGGTTTTCGGTGAGGTAGCGGCCTCGAGTGCGCCAAAAATAACCCCCGCACCCCCTTCGTAGTTTTGAGCAGATCATACCTTCACTCAAAACATACCTAAAACTACAACTACATGATACATAAAGGTAACAGCTAGCTTTTACTCGAGAGTCCAAAAACCAAGTGCGTATCCTACACTGTAATTCAAAGGGTGAGACGTCTCACCAATTTTCGGCGATACAAAATGTATCACCGAAAAAAGGGTCGTACACGAATGTATCACCGAAAAAATGGTCGTACACGCATGTATCACCGAAAAATAGGTCGTACACAAATATATCACCGACAAAAAGGTGAGACATCAGCGAGATTAACCCCTGTTTTCCTGGGGAAGTATCACCCTTTTTTCGGTGATACATTTGTGTACGACCTTTTTTCCGGTGATACATTTGTGTACGACCCTTTTTTCGGTGATACATGCGTGTACGACCATTTTCTCGGTGATACATTTTAGTATCACCGTTTTTTCGGTGAGACGGTTTTGTCTCACCCCTCAGAGAATGAGATGTATCACTATTTGATTTTCAGTGTAACAATATAATAGGGGCTGGCTGCCGGGGCGGGCTGTGGCTGGCTGCTGCGTGGCTGGCTCAATGCGGCGCAGCCTGCGCGGAATTCGACAATGGCACCCCCTCCTCGCACGCGACGGCCTGCGCGCAACATTGACAATCCCTCCCCGATTCAGCCCAGAGGCACCGGGTGCTCGCAATCCAACGGGCACGGCGCGGCGGTGCAGGCCAAGGCACAAAAGACTCAGTTTTTAAATACTATATTTGGAATGAGCCCATACTATCCCGTAGAAGAAAACCAAACGAGTATCATCTGCTTTCATTAACGTTCGTTGAATGAGATTTTTAAATTCAAGTCGGTCAAAAAAGCGAATTGTTAAATTCAGGTCGGTCAATAATGCGAATATTTTAATTGAATTATTTTATTCAATTTTTTTATAAGGTCGGTCAAGTCTAGGTCGCCCGAAAATGCGAATATTTTAATTCAAGTTTTTTATTCAATTTTTTTATTAGGTCGGTCAAAAAATAGGTTGGTTTACTTTTTGTCGGTCTACTTTCGGTAGGTCAAATGATATAGACCCGGAACACCAAAACACGTAGTAAAAATGGAAGTTTTTTTTTGCGCGGGGCTCAAATGGTGCTCTGGTCAGGGCTGAAGTGGGGCTCAAGAAGGGGACAAAACCGGACTGGTCCCGGAGGACAGACTGGGAAACCCCGGCCGGTCCCCCTGGTTTCGGAGGCCCAAGGCTCCCCGTCGAGGTCTCCTCTAGACGGGGTTCGAGTCGGAGCCAGCCGGAGCCCTAACCGGGGCTCAGGTCATTGGGGTGCAAACGAGACGGGGCTCATGTCGACCCCGTCCGCCGACAGCTGGATGCGGTGCAGGCTGCCTCTCGGCTCAGTCGCGACGCGGCGACCGACGCGCGGGCGCGAGGCGGGCGGACCCTTCGGCACGGCGCGGCACGGCGCGAAGGCAGAGGCCAAAGGAGTGCGCTACGAATAAAAGCCTTCACAGGTAGGTTGGACACGAGAGCACTCACCAACTGTGAACCCGACACGAATCAAACTGAACGCGTACGAAAAAAAATTAACTCATTCGTCTTCTTCGAAAACAAAAGGTCGTCTCAGACAAACACATTGCTATTCTTTTTCCAGAAACCTTCCGAAACGCGGAGCGCTCG